ACTCTGCATAGCCATTCATTCAGTGAATCTGCATGTACATTTGTTCTGTGCGAATTGGGCAAAACAAGTGTTCCTTAGGCAGTTTTCTCCACTGAACTAATATTCTTTTATTATTGGCAGCAGACACATACCACATTATGGTCATTAGATGGAGCTGAGGAGTGAAGGAAATACATATGACATTGTAACAAGTGATTCAATCAATTCTAGCGAACACTAGAAGGGATAAACAAATGTAACCTCTGGTTACCCCTTCTTGTAGTTTTCTGCAGGTAGTCTGTAGTGATGGGGCCTGCTGGGTAATATCTGGTTTTGTAAATGTATTTGATGGATAAAAAGTGGTATTATATAATTTGTGGCTATTGATTAATATATTTCTTGATGTCTCCATGTCATATATTACCCATTTAGCATGTGTCAGGGTGTTCTTGGACTGGGCAGAGCAGTTTCATGCAGTCTCACATTAAATGAAGCATCATCCCTATAGAGTCATGACAGCATGAATAAAATAGAGTGAACCCTGGGTAGGGCTGAAAAAATGCCCCCCCCATGGGGTGAATGTTTCTCCAATTTTTATGCCCATCCCTTGAACTATAGTAATATGTGGAAATGGGTGCGGACGCTTCTCAGAATCAGCCACGGGAGTCAAACGTGTTGAGTATGTGAGGTGGCCTCAATACCACGCTAGCCACGCCCACTCATGCATTTCAAGGCTTGGACACAGAGGCGTGAGGGTGTGGCTAGTGTAGTGCTGAGGCCACTTTATATACTCAACACGCTTGACTCCCAGGGCTGGTTTTGAGCAGACTCAGGATGCTGCTTCCTTCATTCCCTTGCCGGTGGGTGACTCCTCTCCCTCAATCCGGCATCATAGTGGCGCCACCAAGCTTCATTCATGCTCTGTGAGAAGTTGCATATCTGCTGGGGACAACTCTCAGCAGAAAAAATAGGGGAGAGAGTCAGGAGTATAGAAAGAAAGGAAGAGTAAATTAGAACAGCCAATCCATTCGATGGGTATAATGCAAATTCTTGAAATGTAGGTGATCCAATGGTCCCAAGTTTTCTCAGCTTCATTTTATCGTTCAGGGTAGCTGAAAGTTTTTTGTTAATCATTATCCAAGATAATTTAGCCCTGACCATATCAAACGGGATGGCAGGAGACTTCCAAGATCTAGGAAAAGTAATGCATGCAGCTATGAACACAAATTAAATGGGCTTTCTCACGTGCCATGGCCCCTCCCGCATGGGTTGACCCAGTAAGGCCTTCAGCTGGGATTTCTTGAGGTTTGTTTGGGTTAGGCAGCATATGAAATATATATACACTTTCGGACAGATCCACCATATATGATGTAACATGCCGTCCTGACCACAACCTGTGAAAGAGAGTGGGGTTGCCCCCCTGGACACGAGAGGCCAGCCTAGATGGAACCATATATCTTAGCAATACCTTGTAGTTGGCTTCATTTTTATTGATGTAAGATCTGGAAGCACAGATTACCATTTCTACCAGTCATCAGGCTCCATTTCCACATTCATATCCTGTTCCCATTTTACTATGTATGACAATTCGTTGGATTTAGACATCAGTATAGAATACATTTCTGAAATATGACCAGAACATTTATCAAGGTTCCTACATAAATATTGTAAGGCAGTAAAAGCAGACAAATCACACTGATGTTGTAGAAAGGTTAAGAAAGGCGCTATCTGGATGTAATGATAAAGTAGAATTCTTTATGACCTGCATAACCAGATATGTGACAAGGACTTGTCTTTTGCCTAATAATAATATCACAAATTCACTCATTATTGTAATGCATGGATGGCAACACACCATAAGTCTAGGTTCACACCTATGCTTTTTCTGTTGCATTTTGCAGAAATGCACAGCAGTCAATTTAACATGATTTCCTATGGGACTGGTTCACATTTCCGCGTTTTCACCCGGCGCATTTTTTGGAAAGGGTCAGGGACTTTTTAAAACACAAAACTTTGCGGTTTTGGTTTAATAGACTTCAATGGAGACACTGCAGAAATGCATGTAGTGACTTGCAAAACTTGGCGAAACGCATAAAAAATGCATAAAAAATGCATGTGCAAAAACGCAAAATGTACCACAAAAAGCACTACAGAAATGGATGAAAAGCAAACTGCATAGGTGTGAACCTAGCCTAAGTGAATATGGCAATTAATCTGAACCATTGATTTTCAGGGCACCTCAATGCATTAAGGCAAAGCACCCACGATGCACATATGCTGCAATCACATATGTTACGATGTACTGTGCTCTGTCGTGTCATAAAAAAATGGTGCTTATCCAGTTTCTGCTTTGCTTTGGTGTGTTAATGTGTCACACATTAACATGTGTTGAAGTGACACTAAACAATATCTGTAATAAAAAAAAATAATTGTATACTGAGCCATTACTTAAAGCAGAAGTTACGCTTTATGCTCTCCTTCCCCCCTCCTCTTCTACTTTTAAAACTTTTTTGGAGGGGGAGTACCTGCTCCCACCTTCTGGCTGAATTGCCTTTGCTTTTCAACTGGTAGCTCTGCCCCCTCACTGCTTGCAATATTCTGGGACATGCCATAGGTCCCAGAAGGCTGCAGCACTATTCACAAAGCGCAGCATGGCATGCACATGCACAGTGAGAAGCTGGCTTTGAAGCCGCAAGGAATCACAGCTAGCTTCCCACAGTAAACATGGCAGTGCCAGGGACCCAAAGAACGGTGAAGAACTGGCCTGGGTGAGGATGGCGCTGGATCCCTGGACAGGTGATTGTCCTTTTATTAATAGTCAGCAGCTACAATATTAGGGGGGAGAGGAGTGGTGGAAGAAGCTGGCTCAGGCTCCCAGTAACTTGCTAAGAGGATGAACCAGCTGCTGGTCCAGGCATCTGGGTGGATCCTTGTACTGAAGTCAGGAACTCTCCAGAGCCTGGACTGGCTCACTGATGTCAGCGGACATGTGGGAGTGCACTCCTGTGACCCACAGGAGAAGTAGGGCCAAAAGAGCTTTGACCGTACTTCTCCTTTAAGTTAAGAATACATACTTCAATAGATATTTTTTTTTTCTTTTTAACCACTTGCTGCCCACAATCAATAGCTGTACTGCGAGTAGATGGTAGCTGCAGGCTGGGCGACATACTAGTATGTTACAACCTTTCTTCCAGGTTTGGATGCATGCGCATGCCCCCTGTCGACCCGTATAGCAGTTGATTTCAGCCAATCATTTTGCCTGAAGTCAGCTGATTGGCTAAGGCCAATCACACACAGAGTTCTGTGTTTTCAAAATCACAGAACTATGTGTACATGGAACTGCAATCTGTCTGTTTCTTCTCCCTGCACAGCACAGAGCAAAAAAAACCCAAACAAACCAGACAGATAGTAAGGTAAAAGCAGCACATGTTACGCAGATTACACATTGTTAGGCACCCAGTTAACCCTTTTGATTGCCCCTAGATGTTAACCCCTTCATTAGTACAGTGTTAGATACAGTATTATCACTGATCACTGTATTAGTGTCACTGGCGATGTCAGTGTCAGTTAGTGACCCTCCCAGATAGTGTCTCTGCCACCCTATCACAGTCACACTATAAGTCACTGATCACTGCCATTACATTATAGCGTCATAGCTGTGTAAATTCCAGTATATAAGTTCATAGACATTATAACTTTTGCACAAACCAATTAATATACACATATTGGGATTTCATTTCACCAAAGACATGTACAAGGATTTGTTTTTATTGGAAATGTTTCATAACAGAAAGTAGCAAAATATTTGTTTTTCAAAATTTTATTTTTTTTGGTTTATATCACATAAAATAACAAAAAAAAACAGTGGTAATCAAATGCCATCCAAAGAAAGCTCTATTTATGTGAAAACAATTATATACATTATATATATTTTGATTTGCATACAGTGTTGCATGAGTGCGCAATTGCCAGTTATAGTCATGAAGTGTTGAACAGCATAATATGCCATGATCATGAAGGCAAGAAAAGGGTAAAACCTTCTGGAGGTAGAGTGGTTCAACCAGAGTTTCACTTTAACACCTGACAATGTGAGTATGGTAACTACTTTGGACAACCAAGGTGTGAGTATGCTGTTAAAGTGTTACTAAACCCAGGACCCTGCATTCACTATATCTGCTCTCCCACAGTACACACTACATGGAAATGCAATTATTTTAAATATAAACTGCTAAATACCTTTTCTCATCAGCAGTTAGAGCAGTCTTGTGACTTCAGCAGAGCTTGTAGGAGTTTTCTTTCTGCTCTAGGAGGAATTGAAACCCTTGACCCTCTCTCTGGACAGTGCTGATTGGCCCTGTGCTGACCACATTCACTCTCCCAAGAAATATAAAAAAAAACCTCTCTAGCAATATACACCAAATTGAGCATGTGCGTGCCTACGGTTCAGTCTGGAGATAAGTGGTGGTCACTTGAAAAAGGGGAAGAACAGAGATGAAAGGATCAAACATCCTTTTTACACAATGTACATAATTAACCCCTTAGGTTCCACAGTGAGTATAACAAGCATGCTTTACTGCATATACAGACTGATTTTACTGTTGTGGGTTTAGTAACACTTTTAAGGTTTTGTTCTTTCTCTCCTATGGATATATATAGCAAAAGTATCGTGAAGCATTTGTATTTCTTTGTCATGACATGCTTTTAAATATGAGATTGTTTATTACAGAACCTCTGTCTGGAGTAAACTCTTGAAATATATGTATTTGTCTGTTGAAATTAGACAGACAGAAGCAGCTAAATATATGAAGTAATCCCAGTGCAGCCTCATGAACAGTGTATGTCCTGTTTAAAATACCCTGACAATTGGAGATAATGAAGTGAATGAGCATTACACATGCAGCATGGTTCAGATGAAGTTTCCAGTAAAAGCTGTGACCACGCTGTCAATGTGGTGGGCCTAATTCAGTGAATTTGTTTATGCATTCCTCTCCTCAGGAGTCAATGATCTACAAGGCCTCATTATGAAGGCACTTCTGGTTTCTGTGGCGACTCTGATTAACTTGCTGCTCCTGATACTGCTGGGATCTGGCTATTGTCAGCACATGGCGGATGAGTCGTGCTCTGTTCAGATACTTGTGCCGGGTCTAAAAGGTACTTTGTACAGTTTAATTGCTTTGTTTTGGGAGTTTAGACAAATAACGATCAAGCTGCTGATTTGTTACAAATCCATTGTGTTGTTATTGCACCTAAATAGTCAGATGTATCTTAAAGTGTAAATGTTGGCAGATATAAAACCCACCCCCACCCTAAATCCAGTTAAGTTTTAATAAAAAAACTATACATTATTATTATTATACAGGATTATATAGCGTCAACAGTTTGCTCAGTGCTTTACAATATAATGGGAGACAATACAGCAACGATGCAGTTCAATACTAGAGGGATAGGAGGGCCCTGCTCCTTGGAGCTTACAATCTAGGAGGGAGGGGACATAAAGTCTAAGATTGGTTATGTTCTGTTGGCTGCTGTTTTAGTTTAAATATTCCATCCTTGGTCCCCCCTCCATACACCTACATTGGTAATCTGGTGCCATGGCCATGGGGGTTGATACAGTAGAGCTGCTGGACCTGTCATAGATACTCATCAAGAGTGTGCTGACTATGTCTGTCCTTTCTTCCCTCCTCCTCCATTTATAGAAGCTGTATTATAGATTCCATCAATGAAAACTGCTCTATGAATAGAGGACAGGCAGGTGAATAAAAGGTCTGCCATTGATAGAGTGCTTTTTATTAATGAAAGGTATAGCACAGCTTCTATGAATGGAGAATGGAGGTGGAAATGGTGGGCATAGGCGGCACTCTTGACAAGTGCCTATGACAGGTCCAATGGCCATATTAACCCCTTAGGCACCAGAAAATTTTCACTACAGGGGTGTTTGGGGGGAAGACTACAAAAGATTTCAATAAAATAGTAACCACAAAGACAAAGAACCCTTCTGTCATATACCTGGTGGAAATCAAGCTGGAGAGGAGGCTTCTCTTGTACCTCTTGTCCAACATCCCTCTTAGTGGTGACAGGAAATATGAGGACACAGAGCTGCATAAGGCTGCTGATGTAGCGGTCAGTGCCAACTGTTTGTTGCAGGATACAGATGACTGTGGATCACCAGACAAGGACCAGGGGCAGGAACATGGCGAGCAAAGCCAGGATACATACAAGTCAAAAGGTCATCAACAGCTGGACAGCAAGATACAGGAACATAAGGTAGAGGCAGATTCAGGATACAAGAGGTCACAACAGGTAGGCAGAAATTCAAAGACAGGTCAAAGGCAAGTTGGGTCGTGCATGAGAAGCAAATATAGCAGGTCAGGACACAGATAAAGCGGAACTAGCTGAAGAGCACACAGCAATCTGTTCATGTCATCAAGTCATCTGTGAGCTATGTGCACTCCTTGGGTGCCCCCAGCTTCTGCCCACACTCCCCAGACATAAATAACCCCTTGAACTAACAAGTGAGTCAAACCACTCTTAGTAGATCTCCTGGGGAAGATAGTTCTGGTGCTTAGTACATCTTTCCACAAATATTTATCTGGGAACCGGGTTGCTCACACCATCCCAAAAAGGTAGCAAGCAGATACAACGGGAAGAAGAGGAGAGTCTTCATAGTGTAAAGCCATTTTATTAATTTACAAGTTTAAAAACCTATGCACTTACATAATATAATAGGCATGTATTTCATAACATTGGACCAGGAAGTGCAGCTTTGCCAGTGTTTCAGCGTGCACTCCAAAGAGCGCAAATGATGTCACACTGAAGTCCCACTCAATGCGTTTCATCATAAAAATGGACATCATCAGATGTAGGTCAACCTAAACCTCTAAAAGAGATACCAATGAAAGGGTACACAGGACATTTCTGAGAAGATCAACAGATTTTTTTGTCCTTTTTCAACAGATATAATAAAAATGCTTACAGTGGTAAATTTTGGGTTTAGGTACATCTTAAAATACAAGTACATAAAAATGCTACATATTGGTTTTTACAGGTGAAATGGGAGAAAAGGGTGAGAAGGGTGCCCCAGGGAGACCAGGAAGAGTCGGACCACACGGGAGAGAGAGGTAAGCAGCCTATCTTCCCTTCTAAATACAGGACATTATGGTTCTGGAAATTTGTAAAGCTCAAAATAAACACAATAACATGAAAATGTTGTGGTCGACAGCATATGCTACAAGCAGCCCTGTATATATGACATTTGCCTGGAGGGTGAAAATGACTTTATTTAAAATTGAGGCACCATCCAGATACATGTGTATTACAATTAAAAAACTATACACAAGCCAACACATTTTGGGGACTAAGACACAACCCTTTCATGGGGACTGTAAAATGATACAAAATATACCCCTAACTGTAAACTATACATAAAAATTTTCTCCTCTAGGAAGGAAAAAAATATTCAATGTATTCTTTTTACCATTCAAGAGGAGAAAAAAAAACTGGGGAGGGCTGTACAGTGACTAATCAATGTAATAGTTAATTAGAGACTATCACAGCAATCATTTGATCAGGAACCGGGTCTGGACTAGTTCCCATCATTAGTTTGGGACCCTTGGTGAGATCCCAGTTTCTGTGCAGCCCGCTCTCAGCAAAAAACACAACACACCACAGATGAAGACACACTTCCGTGAACCCGCATGTGTGTACAGTTGGGGGGAAGGGTTCAAACTTGTACAATATATTTGCTTATATTGCTGTTGCAAACACCACCCCTGGTTGGCAGTTCAATAAAGTTAAAATTTAAGCCGGCCATACATCATACAATCTGATTGTACAATCTCCTTTAGCTGTACTATGAGTTATGTAGTGCAAGGGCTTGACTGACTGGATACAAATTGAATGGATTGTTGGAGTCGTCCCTATATTGCACAGTTATAGTAAATCTACAGAAGATTGAATGGAGATTGTACAGACAGATAATAGTGTGTTACTAGTTTTAGATCTACCACCCACTAGGTAGTGCTTGCTTGGATACATTGATAGAATAGATTAGGTGGGTCCTCATATTACTAGTTTTTATAAATATTAAGTGTACAAACATTGTATGGTCAGAATGTAATGTGTATGGTAACCCTAAGACATGATCTTAAAAAGATTTTTGCTGCATTGCAAATGATATCTACCACATGTCAGTTATTTCTGTAGTATATGTAACACACCATATGAGTGATCCCATTTAATTGCTTAGAGTGCCGCTCCAAACACCCGGCTGACCCACTAGGGTGCTGGCATCTATAATACCCATCTCAGCCAACTTTACAAACTATGATTGAAAGACACTGCATTCTTTAACAGCCCACGTACTGGATCAAGATGACCTCAGCCTAGGCACCCCCCAAGTGTGGGAGCAACGGGCTGCTAAAATTTAGCCCAGATTCCCTCCTCTTCAGTGCAGAGACAGCCAGGTACACAGCAACAGTCACTGCTCCGGCTCAGTAAAGAGTCTAATGGTATTCTTTTTAAAGCTTTTTTGAAATGTTAAACTTGGATAGGTGTAGGGTAACTGTACGATAGTCCAGCAACATTAACTTGATGATAACCATCTTCCTCATAAAGATTCTGAGCACAGTAGCAAATAATGGGCTGAGCTACACAGTTACACCATGAGTAACGTCCACTTTTAGTACAAGTTGACTCTGGTGCAAGAGGGAGAGCAGCAGCACAGTCACTAGGATCTTACACTCCGGTCCATTCTAACAAATGTCATTGGATAGTTGAATGCCTCCTTCCAATATCTTCCAGACACAGCTCCTGTGAATTTTTCAGACCAGATCCCAAAGAATAGAAGTCCCTCAGTCAGCTCCAGCAAAGTTCACTAGAATAGGCTCTCAGCTAGCATAGCTGGGACCTCCTCCATGAGCAGCTCTTCAGGCTAGGATCTCCACCTCCTGAACAAGAACCCCTCAAGTCCAGGCCTCAAACTATTAATGCTTCCTCCCAACCACCATCGGGAAACCCTTCCCAGAGATTGGCTGGAACTGCATAAATATTTACATGCTGATTTGACTCTCCCAGCCCACTACTTTGCAGAACCCTCCAGAAGGCATGGGAAAGCAGTAAAACATGCAACCAGTGATACAGAGAACAGCCCAAAACAATCATAAGCAACTGATTACAGCAGAGGTAGAGAACTAAATTTACCTAACCTAGCCAGCAACCTAACTAGGAGGGCGCTACACACATTATGTCAGGGAGGATTTGCCCCTTGTAGTTGTTTCCTTGCCCAACCATTGATGTTTTTGCATACTTTGTGTTTTGTGACTATATGCTCTTGACTGAATTTACCTTTGGATTTTTAATACTATTTACAGGTTTATTGAATGTAAATCACTAAATAATAATACTATGATATTTAAACAAAAAAGAGATTGGAATAAAACGATATGTTATAGCAGGAGAATGATTGGAAAATGAATAAAAAATAGGGCACCTAACTGGTAATCTGGATTTGGGTAATTTCCCCAGAAACAGATCTAAATATCCTTCAAGTCACGGTCAAGCTTTGTAAATTGCCAGGTATCGTAATGGTCTTTATTTTAACATGAAAAAAATTACAGCCAGTAATATTCTGTGCAAATGACAGACCTGTTTTAATGGTATTAAAGTTTGTAAGCAGTCAGGTGAAGGATTTCTTACTTACAAACCGCAATTTTGAATACTCAAGCTCTCTTAATGTATGTTAACAAGTCAGAGGGAAATTCATGATCAGCCATAAACCCCAGCAAGAGTCTGGTCAGAGCAGCTGATTCCAAGGAATAAAATAGCACTGACTTTATTGCTTTACCTTTTAGTGCATGGGCTCTGATAATAGTAACATAAAGTCTAGTGGAGAGGTTTTATTGAAGAACCCGCTTCCCTGTCGCGTGCTGTTTTTCTGACATCTATAAAACGTGACAGTTCATACATCAAATTAACAAGAGAAGTCACTACTGCATCTGCTTAAGCATTATTTCTTTATGGTCTGCCATTCCAACCTATGCTGGGGATGCCGGTAGAAGTAAGATTTGGGAAGGTTATATTTATTCCGGGCCATAGAAAACAAGATAAATACAGAAAAATGACTGCCCAGGATGGATGCATCCCATCTGTTTGTTATTACAGGTTTTTATTAATGTGCTATTCTTGTCACCACTAGAGGGAGCTGCAACCCCCAAACAAGAGTGATTAGAAAACCTTTGCAATACATAGACTGAAGTATTTTTATTTATTTCATTTCTTTTATATTCATATGAAACAAATCTGCTTCATGTAAACAACCCTATCAATATGCGTTATTTTTTTTTTAATCATGTTCCTTTTAAAGGTTAGGATTACATACACTCTCCGGCCACTTTATTAGGTGCACCTTGCTAGTGCCGAGAAGAAAATATCCCCTACACCATTACACCACCACCAGCCTGAACCATTGATACCAGGCAGGATGAATCCATGCTTTCATGTAGATTATGCCCAATTCTGACCCTACCATTTGAATGTTGCAGCAACCAGTCTGCCCATTCTCCTCTGACCTCTGACATCAACAAGGTATTTTCGTCCACACAACTACCGCTCACTGGATATTTTCTCTCTTTTTTGCACACCTTTCTCTGTAAACCCTAGAGATGGTTGTGCGTGAAAAATCCCAGGAGATCAGCAGTTTTTGAAATACACATACCAACCTGTCTTGCACCAACAACCATGCCTCAGTCAAAGTTACTTAAATCCCCTCTCTTCCCCATTCTGATGCTCTGTTTGAAATTCAGCATGTCATCTTCACTGCATTTAGATGCCTAAATGCATTGAGTTGCTGCCATGTGATTGGCTAATTAGAAATTTGTGTTACCAAGCACTTGAACAGCTAATAAAGTGGCCGGTGAGTGTATGTACCTAAGGAAGGTATATATTTCCTCACTATGTGTCTAGCTCTGCTTCAAGTTTATTAGTGAAACACAGTGGCTGTACATTGCTGGGGAACTGAATACTGCCACTGACATCCCCACTGACATTAATACAGTGATCAGTGCTAATAAAAAGTCCTAACTCTGTACTAATGACACTGGGCAGGAAGGGGTTAACATCTGGGGCGATCAAAGGGTTAACCGTGTGATGTTTTACTCTTTTGTCTGTGTGTGCTTTACTATGTAAGCACAGTGCTTTGTATTGATCTGCTATGCAGAGCAAAACAAAGCAGCATGCTGGTGTTGACAAGGGAGAGATCTGTATTGCTTACATACAGACCTCTCCTCTGTCAGTGTTTCTCAGGGATCAATGGGTGCCAGCGGGGAATTCGGCGGGTGCCTGCTAGTGCCTGTAGCTGCCAATGGTGGCACGGGTAGGGTGGCACGCGCACTCCCTACCCAGAAATACAAAATCACACATATTTATTTATTTATTTCACGTACTTATCGAGCGCCATCAATTTACGCAGCGCTTTACAATATTTGTACATTCACATCAGGTCCTAACCCTCAAGGGGCGTACAATCTAAGGTCCTTAACTTACATTCATACATATATATATAGATACGTGATCTTGCACAGCCCTGCCACCCTGTAGCAGACTTCTGCTATAGGGCTGCTGGGAAGCGGTTAAGGTACAGATCAGGTGCCCCAATGTTGTGATAAAAATCAAATGCATAGTATGCTCTGTCAGTATTTCCCAACCGTTTTTCAGTCAAGGCACCCTTTAAAAACCTTGTGGCACCCCATTTTAAAATATAAAAAACTAAACTAGAGGTTTTACATACCTCAGCAACAACACACCCAAAGTCAGAGGTGATTTATTCTTCAAAAGCAAATACACCCTTGCACACTGGTACTGAGTAGTATTCCAATGCTTCTCTTCTCCCTCAACTTCTCTCCCTCATTCAGCTAATATGACCCCAGTGCTGATGGAGAAGGACAGGGAAGTGGCAAACAAGGATGCTGTGCAGGTGCCCAACGTTCTCCTTATCAACCTATGACAACATTGCTTGTTAGGACGCTGGCACCTAGAAGGTTTTAATAGTGCACAATGAAAACCTGTGGCTTTGTGTAACTAAAGGGCAGGCTTGATCCACATTCTGGCTTGTCTACAATTTTTAAGCAGTTTTAAGGCATTTTACCAAAACACCCCTGAAGACATCTAAAGGCACCGCAGTGTGCCTGAGCACCCAGGTTGAAAAAGGCTGGTTTATGTAGTATCCAAAAATGTTTACAGCACTATTTCAGACTTGTAGATAGCTCTGCAAAACTCAATCACAAGCATTACCTACTTAAAAGTCACATTTCCATTTGAGAACGTTTGTTTTTTCAAACACTATTAGCAATTTTGCATTGAGGTACGAGTATGAAGAAGCAATGGAGTAGGTGCTGTTGCACCTTATAGTTTTGAGGATGTGAGTTTTGTGCAGATAGGAGGGGAAGTGTCTCACTCTTCCAGTTATGTGTTAGTTGGAACTTGGGAATAATGCAAAAAGTGGCTTGGGGTATGGTATATCATGTACACAATGCTAGAACGGGTAGAGGGTTTAGTGTCTACATCAAGTAGATGACCTGTAGTGGAGATAGCACCTTGGGTCCTCCATAAGGAGTGAGCAGTACTTCCCATTATGAGAAGATATTTAGTTATATATGAATGGGAATCCAATTTCTGTCTGGTCTGCATTTTAATAAAGTCTTTTGTTAATGCAAACACAAGCAAATCACTATTGTGCTGATCTTCTAGAAAAGCCCCTCTGGCTGGTGATTTAGAAATAGAAGGGAGGATATTGCAGTTCTCCAAAGACTCCACAGGGTGGTGGAGATGAATTTTGGGAAACAAAACAGAAAAAAACAGAGTGCACAATCGCCCTAGCGTAACTCTATTTAATTATGATAAAAAGACATAAAAATGATTGCACTCACATGGTACAAAGGTATTAAAGCACTTTCAGTGTTGTGATGCCTTCAGTTTACAAACCGACCTCAATGCACTGTTTAATTGGGCAACTATGTGGCAAATGAGATTTAATGTTGATAAATGTAAGGTTATGCACTTGGGGGCTAAGAATATATATGCATCATACATACTAGGGGGGGGGGTACAACTGGGGGAATCAATGGTGGAGAAGGATCTGGGAGTTCTGGTAGATCACAAGCTTAATAATAGCATGCAATGCCAAGCTGCGGTTTCTAAAGTGAGAAAAATCCTCTCTTGTATTAAAAGAGGTATAGACTCCAGAGAGAGATATCATTTTATACCTGTACAAATCATTAGTAACACCTCATCTGGAATATGCAGTTCAGTTTTGGGCACCAATTCACAAAAGGAACATTGGGGAACTGGAGAAAGTACAGAGAAGGGCAACCAAACTGATAAGAGGCATGGAGGAGCTCAACTATGAGGAAAGATTAGAGGAACTGAATTTATTCTCTCTTGAGAAGAGGCGATTAAGGGGGGATATGATCATCATGTATAAATACATCAGTGGTTCATATAGTGAACTCGGTGTAGAGCTATTCACCCTGAGGTCATCACAGAGGACAAGGGGGCACTCTTTACGTCTGGAGGAAAAGAAATTTAATCTCCAAACACGGAAAGGTTTCTTCACAGTGAGAGCTGTGAAAATGTGGAATAGACTCCCTCAAGAGTTGGTTCTGGCCAGCTCAGTGGATTGCTTCAAAAAAAGGCCTGGATTCTTTCTTAGATACACAGAATATAACTGGATACTAACATTTATAGGTAAAGTTGATCTAGGGAATATCTGATTGCCTCTCGGGGGATCAGGAAGGAATTTTTTTCCCAGCAGGAGCAAATTGGATTGTGTTTTGCTGTTTTTTTTTTGCCTTCCTCTGGATCGACTGTGGGTATAGGATTATAACTTTTTTTTCTATGGTTGAACTGGATGGACTTTTGTCTTTTTTCAGCCAGACTTACTATGTAACTATGTGATAGTCCTCTTATTCCTCCTAATGTTGTTGGCATCAATGTAGTAATCAGCAGGGTTTAGTGTCTATATCAAGTAGATGACCTGTTGTGGAGATACCATCATGGTTCCTCTATAAGGAGTGATCAGTATTTACGAGAAGATATTTAGTTATATATGAAAGGGAATCCAATTTCTGCCTGGTCTGCATTTTAATAAGGCCTTTTGTAAAGGCAGTGGGGGAATGACTCTCAGGTGAGAGATTTTCCATGGATGTGCTCACCAGGGATCGCCACTTGTACGGTTCTCTGAATCACTAAGAATCATGGCTTTACAAGTCCATGCAGGCACTGTGTCAAGTATCTCAAAATAAATTTAAAACTGCGAAACAGAACATAAAACCAGAGCACAGTGAATACTGCAGGCATAGAAAACAGGCAACTTATAGGGAGAGCCTGCCCACACTCTCCATGGGAAGAGGATGCAAGCTCAGCAGACACATAAGTGCTTACAGACAACTGCACACTCCTGTTGGATAGAATGCTGCCACAGAAAAGTTTACAGGGCTCTGCCCCTTCTTATAACCTTTCATGTCTGCTGTATTTGTGGTCTCATCACACAAACAACATTGGCAATATCTCCCTTCAGTTTTCCCTCGACTTGCCAATATTTGTGGGTGCTGAGGACTTCCACCAAAGAGTTTTTGGTCCAAAGGCTGACTGTTTTTTCAAGATTGCTTTCAAGCTTATGAAATATAAGTGTCACTTTTTTAAAATTCTAATAAATCATGTGATCTTCACAATTCAGCATGCTCTGGTTTTACACTGCACATCCAACAGTTTAAAAACTGAGAGAAGGCTTTCCACAAGCTTTTGGAGTGTGTCTGTGGAAATTTGTGCCTTTTCAACTGAAAGGCTTGCATTCAGTGTTCCAATTCATCCCAAAGGCGCTCAGTTGGGTTGGACTCTGTGCAGGCCACTTGAGTTCCTCCAGACCAAACTCATCAAACCATATCTTTATGGAGCTGCCTTTGTGCACAAGGGCACAATCATGGTGGAAAAGAATGGGATGTTCCCCAAACTGTCGCCACAATTCTAAAAATATATATTAAATAGATTCTGTAAATACTTTATGAGTGTATATTTTACATATTTTATTAAAGTTGTATTAATTAAGATAAAATATATTTTTTATTATTCCTAATTAACTTGACATCTAATCCATACAATGCATTGACAGTGCTGACCCTAGCCCGGTTGTGACAGCAGCACTTATGTGATACTTTGAATGAGGACTGGACCTGTTCCCTGTGCAATAAAGAGTTCCTTGGGGTGCCTCGGGCACTCATTTGCCCTCTTACAATTCAGAAACAGTGCAATAATTGCCCACAGTGCTCTAAATTAAGAACATTGCTTATGATGTCTGGAAGGTCTACGGCCAGCCTTAATCATAGTAATATGTGAAGCCAATCTTACTTAACAAGACTACAACACCACTTGCAGGAATCCAACATTTATGGTTTTGTTTTGCAGGAATGATGGGTGAAAAGGGAATGAAAGGAGGCATGGGTCGCCATGGTAAAATCGGTCCCATTGGTTCTAAAGGTATTTACGTGTGAAGCCAGATTATGCTATATTCCTGGTGGTATGGTAAGATGCAATATAGTACATTTTTGTTATTGGGTTTAGATACACATTAAAGATAGCCAGGACAAAACAATCAGATGACATAGGCCTGCTGCTGATCTTTTTTTTCAATCACTGACTAATCATGCCTTTTTTCTGCACTGTGTCTCTGTGTGAAAGTGACCATCTTGGTATAGGAGCAGAACTTTATTTTCTCATGCCCCCCGATGACCTGATAACTGGTGGGGAGGTATTCAAAATTAGGCAAGATGCCATCTGTTAGGAACTCTATTGGTTTGTACATTTTTATTTACGAGCAGCTATGTTCATCAAACAATAAATAGAATGATAAAGCATTGCAATGCATTTTACTTTTCAGGTGAAAAGGGAGATGTTGGTAACATGGGTCCATCAGGTCCAAACGGAGATCCAGGTATACCTAAACTTTTCAGGATTAATACCGTTAACGGTATTAAAGGTATCCATTGACTTAATTCAATCTACTTTTATTTCCTGTGTGATATACTGTATTTCTCTGAGAGTGTCAGGTTTTTGTGAATTAAAAATATGCCAGTCCCTAAAGTGGAAGCGGCTCTTCCAGTCTTATACTCATCTGTCCTTGATCCACCAAAAATCTATGACGTATGACCTTCCCATGATCTCTTCCATATACCTGTGCATGTTCACTCCAGTCTTTATTTGAGCCCTATTAAAATTTTGAAATTAGAAAAGATAATTGGCTGAAGTTATATTCTATTGCTTGCATCTTAAATTCTAGAAAAGGTGGCTACCTTATTTAAAGTTTTTATCTTCACCTGGTCTTCTTCCGGTTTCAGTGTCTCTGGCCATCTTGACTGCATGTCCTGTGATGTCACTACTCCCACGCTTGTGCAAAGGAGTTTTATTCCAGTACCATGGCATGCAGAGAAGGTGCATGGAGCCACACATATCCAATTCAACGTACACTATATTGCCAAAAGTATTGGGACACCTGCCTTTACATGCACATAAACTTTAATGGCATTCCGGTCTTAGTCCGTAGGGTTCAATATTGAGCTTGCCCATCCTTTGCAACTATAACAGCATCAACTCTTCTGGGAAGGCTGTCCACAAGGTTTAGGAGTGTATCTAGGGGAAAGTTTGACCATTCTTCCAGAAGTGCATTTGTGAGGTCAGGAACTGATGTTGGACGAGAAGGCCTGGCTTACAGTCTCCGCTCTAATTCATCCCAAAGGTGTTCTATCGGGTTGAAGTCAGGACTTTGTGCAGGCCTACCAAGTTCCTCTAACTCCAAACTTGCTCATCCATCTTTATGGACCTTGCTTTGTGCACTGGTGCGCAGTCATGTTGGAACAGGAATGGGGCCATCCCCAGACTGTTCCCACAAAGTTGGGAGCATGAAATTGTCCAAAATGTCTTGGTATGCTTAAGAATTCCCTTCACTGCAACTAAGGGGCCAAGCCCAACCCCTGAGAAACAACCCCACACCAAAATCCCCCTCCACCAAACTTTACACTTGGTACAATGCAGGCAGTCAAGTACCATTCTCCTGGCAACCCCCTAACCCAGACACATCCATCGGATTGCCAGACAGAGAAGCGTGATTCGTCACTCCAGAGAACACATTTCCACTGCTCCAGAGTCCAGTGGCAGCGTCCTTTACACCACTGCATCCCACACTTTGCATTGCAGTTGGTGATGTAAGGCTTGGATGTAGCTGCTCCGCCATGGAAACTCATTCCATGAAGCTCTCTACACACTGTTGGTGTGCTAATCTTAAGGCCACATGAAGTTTGGAGATCTTTAGCTACTGTTTCTGCAGACTTCTGCACACTGTGCGCTTCAACATGTGCTTAACCTGCTCTGTCATTTGATGTGGCCTACCACTTCATGGCTGAGTTGCTGTTGTTCCCAGTTGCTTCCGCTTTGTTATAATACCTCTAACAGTTGACCGTGGAATATTTAGCAGCAAGGAAAGAAAATTCACAGATGGACTTATTGCACAGGTGGCAACCTATCACGGTACCATGCTTGAATTCACTGAGCTCCTGAGAGCGACCCATTCTTTCACAAATGTCTGTAGAAGCAGTCTGCATTCCTAGGTACTTGATTCTATACACCTGTGGCCATGGAGGTGATTGGAACACCTGAATCCAATGATTTGGAGGGTGTCCCAATACTTTTGGCAATATAGTGTATATTTAGTAGAAAAGGTGCTGGCAGGTAGAAAAAGAACTTTGATTGTCGTAGATGCATGCCAGCAAATGTTTATTAAAAATCACTAATGTTCAACTTTAATAACATCTTAAATTGAAAAATTCCAGGGACAAAACACGTATTAAGTTTAGGGTCAGATGTTGCCACCATACACATCTGACCATGTTGCACTTAATACTTTTGCCAAATCTATTGTGTTAATTTAGCTTAAAAGACAGCTTTAAAAAAACAAAAAAAACACTGAGGGGGAATTTATCAAAACTAGAACAACAGAATCTGGAGCAGCTGTGCATAGTAACCATTATCTTCTATCCTCAGTTTGTTCAGATATGCCTTGATAAATGAAAGATAGAAGATGATTGCCATGCACATCTGCTCCAAATTCTGTATGTGCCAGTTTTGATAAATTCCCTTCACTGTATGTTGTTAACTGTATGAGGTGGTTATATGCAATAACAGTATTTAGAATATTAATACATTTTTCTCATATTTATATATCATATTTATATTTGTTTTTACTTCTTTTTGTAAGATTTTAACCATGAGAATCAAAGGTGATTGTTGTAAGCTCCCCTGGTAGTGTTATGATTTGTCTCACCCTCCGTCATCACTTTTGTTAGACACACTGGTCTGCATATAAATGTAAAGGAAAATCTAAAGCAAGGTATGTGAACATAAAATAAATGAATATGCTGAATACTGTTATTACAGGTATAACCACATACAGTTATCATACATCAATATTTTTCATAATGGTAATCTTTTAATGCAGTCTTTCTGCCTCAAAGGCTAGGGTTATTGGTGTTGGTTAGCAACACATCTCATGCACTTTTTTTTGGGACCTGTGCAACCAAAATGTCTGTAAATGTTGGGTGTGCACCTGGGATATGAAATTTATTGAATACAAATCCTATGAGGACAAGCCAAGAAATAAGAAAGGATAGTGATACCTGCTCTCTTGTCTTCATTTTACAGGGATACCCTGTGAGTGCGGACAGCTGAGGAAGGCTGTTGGAGAGATGGACATTCAGGTCACACAGCTGACAACAGAGCTGAAGTTTGTAAAAAATGGTATGTATTGATTTACCCTTGCAGTTGTGCATCCATGCTGCTTATATACAAGTAGGGCTATTTAGCAAGACAGAGCTCAACAAGTTATGTAATATGGTCAGAAACGTATAGCCATCTCACCATCACACTTACCTCATATGGCCAAAAAAGGCCAAACCCCTCCATATTATTGAGTTCACGCATATCTAGTGAAGGATACTGATAATGTTACAGCGCACAAAGACAGTTTGTGCTTCCAAACCTGTAACAATAGGTTGGAGAAAGTTTCTGCTCTAACATTACTGTATTTCTGTGCACAATGCCAGATCCAAATAGACACATTTTGTGTAGAGAAGCTAAAGTGGACTTCAGAGAGCCTTAACCTCAACCCCACTGAACACCTTTGGAATGAAATGGAGCATCAGTTGTGAGCCAGGTCTTATCCAACATCAGTACCAGACCTCACATGCTTTTCTGACAAAATGGGCACATATTCCCACAGACCCATTCCAAAATATTGTGAAAACCTTTCTAGAAGGGTGGAGGCTGTTATGGTGCAAAGCAATGGAGGAGGAGCATCTCCATAAAAATACCCATTTTTTTTGCAATAGGATGTCCAACAAGCTCAAATAGGTGCCCAGAAACCTTTGCCAATATAGTATAAGACAGTACAGTACCTCATAGCATCCAAACCACTGAGCATTTCTGCTCAGCCAAAATTAGATCAGTGGCTACAGGTACTATGTTGCACCTAATACACAATCATTAGACAAGTCTGTGTTATTCCACATTTAAACAACTCTTCAGAAATAAATACTCTACATTATAGTATATTCTTTTCATTAACAAGTACTTACCCGATTTTGTTTGCTTTTTTCTGATTTCTCTCTGGATTTTTTTTTTTTTTTTATTTTATCTTTTACTACTCCTCATATAGGAAAATACCAGAGTTGCACCAATACCATTTACGGTATCCGTATCGGTGCCGATACCATGTACTTGCACGAGTTCTCCTATTCGTGCAATTGCTCCCGATACCCAAAATTGATACCTTTGTGGTACGATTTGACCTCATACACAACCATGTCTGGTTGCTGTGCTCACAGGACTGGAGGGGATGTATAAGCAGTCCACCCCCAAGCTCACACTTCAGACCTATACCCACATTGATTCTGGAACTATCTACATCTCCTCAAGCCCTCTGAGCATCGCAAGCGGTTGTGGTTTTGGATTTGGCAAGCAAGATATGTTATGTACTTTTAACATATAAGTTGTTATAACAATAATAAACTGTTTGCTTGCCCATGGCTGCATCTCTTAGATGGCACTTCCCTGACTTTCTATATTGGAATCACACAGGAGTGGTGGGGAAAACCCCATGCGATTTGGACAGGAATCGCACTGCATTCCTGTTCAAATATTATGAAATTCTTTGCAGTGTGATTTGAGCCCATTCATTTAGTATGAGCTCAAATCACACCGGCAAAGGTACCGGTACTCGGTATCAGTGAGTGGTTGACTAAAAGTATCGGTACTCATACTTGCCGGTGAGAAAATGGAATTGGTGGAACTCAAGAAAATACCCATTATTATATGGAACAGAAATATTCCTTAGGTAAATTTAACATAAAATATATGAATATATAAAATATATCTGGCTTTACAACTTGGTATTTAACTTTAAAACCTTGCCTATCCCCAGAAAGGATTCAGGAGATGCAGGAACTGACTGAATGCCATTAGTGTAAATATTACTAATCTGTTTAGTTTGGATCTCCCATTCAGTAGATCTAGCATCCTAATATATCCATGGACCTGACTGCCAGTACTTCAGATGTGTTGTACCAGTACTTCAAATGTGTGGCTGATGGACTATAAAGTTGAATAATTTGCCAATAGTCACTTCTGCCCTAAAGTAAAACCTGCACTTAGGCTGCTAATGCTGATCTTTTTTGTACATTTGCTGCATGCCTGAATGTCTCTGGCTTAATTACTTAATTATTTTCTGACCCAGAATAATGGTGCTTCCACTGAAGTTAGACCAAAATTAGAACCGTTGATCTGTGTACTTATTCCAGATCAAGGAATATTAAATCTGTTGAATCCGCATGTCAGCCAGGAAACTAATTTTTTTACAGAGGGAGGTTGAAAAAGGCAGCCTCCATCTATCTGTTACTACAGGTTTCCTTTAATTTCCCATTTCTGCCTTTTTGGAAAAACTTAGGTTATCCTTTAGGGGCCCATTCATACCTCTCGAATGTAGTGAGTTGTGAGAATTCACATGTTAACACAGCATGTGTTCTTGCTTTCTACATGCCATGTTTCACAAGAACCCCAATGTACGACTTAATGCACCTCCAATGCACATGCCCTGTAGCACACCACAATACATGCTAATGCACTACTGTATATTGTGGTGTGCTGCATCAGAAAAAAAGGTGCATGTCCAGTTTTTGGTCTGTTTTGGTGCGCTGACAGCCATTCAAAGAAATTGGCTGCCTTAAAGCACTGTGTGTTAATTCGCATTGGTTAATGCAACACACCAAGACAGACAAGTGTGAATGGTCTCATAAGGAAATACTGAGTCTTTTATAATTGTTTTAGCCCAAAAATAGCATTGTGAGCACCATAATATCATGAGCTTCTGACCTTTCCGGGCAGATGTCACTGACTGACTCAGCTATAAAATAGGTGCTCCTGAGAGTTTAGGTAGTACTGGGCTTTCTTAATATTTACTTGCAAACTGAGTATCAAGGCAGCACCCTCTATTAAACCTTTATTTAGAAAATTAGAAAATTATTTATAAAATTTATAAAATAAATGTATTATTTATAAAATTAAATTGATAAAATAATAATAATAATAATAGTAGTAATAATAATAATAATAATAATAATAATACAAAAATTGTAATCTTCCAAAAACAGGAAAATAAAAAATTGTCATGCATGTTTGTGGTTTTTTCTGGTTTTGTCTCTGCCTAATTTTTTAAATGTACATTAAGATTGTTATAGAAATATAAGTGCTCACTTTTCAGCACTGCCCTCCCCCGCAGTTGTTGCTGGAGTGCGTGAGACAGACACTAAGATCTACTTGCTGGTAAAAGAGGAGAAGAAATACATAGAGGCCCAGGCCTACTGTCAAGGAAGAGGTGGTACACTCAGCATGCCCAAAGATGAGGCAACCAACAGTCTGATCGCTTCTTACATTAACCAAGCTGGCCTCAGCAGGATTTTTATTGGCATCAACGACCTGGATAGAGAAGGTCACTTTGTGTATTCTGACCGGTCTCCATTGCAGACCTTCAACAAATGGAGGCAAGGAGAGCCAAATAACGCCTACGATGAGGAGGACTGTGCTGAAATGGTCTCTTCAGGAGGGTGGAACGATGTTTCTTGTCTCATTACTATGTATTTTATTTGTGAGTTTGACAAAGAAAATGTATAATTGTGTTTCTATACAAGCAAATGACATATGAAAGCACATACCAGCAATTTCCCAGTGGACCTTAACCACATTACAACTGCGCTATAGCCAAATGACAGCTACAGCGCGGTTGTCCAGTTCTGGGAGGGCATCATATGATGTTCTCCCAGAACGTGACCCCAGCGGTGCGCACCTGGTGCTGTCATTGATCGCAATGTCCTACGCACACAGCTGATTACATGCCTAGGTAAAAGGCCAATCACAGCGGCCTTTTACCTTGTGATCAGCTGTGTCAAATGACACAGCAGATCACAAAGTAAATACAGTTGCCGGTTATTGGCAGCACATTCCTCACACTGTCACAGCGTGAGGAAAGTACTGCCGATAACCAGCAAATGTCACAGAGGACATCCGCACTGATAATCAAGAGGACTGATTATCAGTGTCTCCCATCAGTGCCGCCCATCAGTGCCTAGCAGTGCCACACACCAGTGCCAACCATCAGTGCCACCGATCAGTGCTGCCCAGCAGTGCCACACAGCAGTGCCTAGCAGCCAGTCAGTGCTGCCAGTCAGTAATGACCATCAGTGCTTCCTATCAGTCCCCATCATTGCTGCATATCAGTGCAGCATCATCAGTGCCTCCTCATCAGTGCCCACCAGTTCCACCTCATCAGTGCCCATCAGTGCAGCCTCATCAATGCACATCAGTGAAGGGGAAAAATTACCTGTTTGCAAAATTGTATAATAGAAACAAAGAAAACTTTTTTTTCACATTTTTTGCTCTCTTTTTGTTTATGTTTTGTTTATAGTGCAAAAAATAAAAACTACAGTGGTGATTATATACCACCAAAAGAAAGTTCTATTTGTGTGAAAAAAATGATAACAAATTTCATATGTGTACAAAGTTGCATGACTGCACAATTGTCATTCAAAGTGTAACAGCACTAACAGCTGAAAATTGGCCTGGGCAGAAGGGGGTGAAAGTGCCCAGTAGGCAAGTGGTTAAAATGAGTGTGGCTATGCAGTTTTGCTTTGATACATTCTTCCTGATTTTATTTCCAGTGCCATAGCACTCTCTTCTTCCCTGCAGCCTGCACGGCTACTGCTGTTGTTATGGGCATGTCAGCACTTATGGTAGTGAGCACTATAAAACCACAGCTTGAGGTTCCCCAGGGCGCGGAATCTAAGCCCCAGCCTGCTTGTTCACCAGGGCCCTGATGGTGCGTTTGGAATTGGAGCAAGCTGGAACCAGGTCGCGGCCCCAGGTACTCCCAGCTGAGGTAGAGGAGAACGCTAGCGGGATCAGGGTACACCAGGAGTAGACACAGGAGGTCCAGTTGGCAAGCCAAGGTCAGGACAGGCGGAAAACTAGCAATGTCAGGAACGAAGCTGGGGTCGGTACACAGATAGACTATAAGCAAGGTCAGGAACGAAACCGGGGTCATTACACAGAAAGACAAGTTAGCTTGCAGTCTCTTGTGTGTTTACTCTTACCTCCTTGCTGCTCTTGATAGAGCAACAAGGAGGTAAGAGTAAACACACAAGAGGCTGCAAGCTAACTTGTGACAGGGCAGCTTTGAGGGAGAAGCATCTTGTCCTACATTTTCGACAGCTCAATGCCAGCCATCTCTTGAGCACAGAAATTCTGTCAGATGGTATATATTTTCTTCTTGGTAGCTGTACCATACACCAGAATCTACAATCTACAAAATCAGAAACTACACTAAATGATACCCAGGCAAACCCTATTAGGTTATGCTCTCTCTGTTGCAATAACTGTTCTAGTCATTTGTCAGGTGGGCCATCACATATGAAAAGACTAAGATCTCAGTTGAGACAATATCACCTAATGGTGGTCACTTAGAAAAAAGATGTTCTAGTTGCATTTATAAGGTTTTTTGTATCTATATATATGTGTCATAGCATTGATATTCGAAGGGTCAAATGCTGTGTTCTAATCACTTTTTTGGAAAAAAGTTATAGGGATCTATTCTTGCTAGTGGGACAAAGCATTCATTACATTACCATCTTCCCAGGAAAAATTGTATCTAACGGATTATAACGGATTAACAGACTACACATTTGTTAAACTATGGCCCATTAATTATTTGCAATAATGATTGGTATTTTTAGCAATGTACTGTTATTGTTGGTCCAAATTGTTGAAAATAATGATTGGAGAATGAAGTGAGGGATACAGGAATTATGGTAAAAAGATGACTACTGAAGACTCCCTGTCCCCATGTCGGCATTCACAGCCTTCTCACATACGCTCATCTGTTTACAGAGCTTCACCCTCTCTGTCCTCACACTATACTGAGGGTGTCTTTTATTTCTAGGGGGTAAACCTTCTCATTCTAATGACAGTCCAAATGCAAACCATGACAAATGCATAGTGATTTACTTACAACTTATTTCCCAGACAGCTACAAGACAGCCAGGCCCACATCTATCACTCATGTACATCCCTTCTAAGCAGATCACTAAGCAGCACACAGGATCTTTTGTGGTCATCAAATCATTTAAGGCTTACAAACAGGAATTGCTGAAAGCAAATCCAAACTTTAATTAACCCCATACACTTTGTTCAGCAGGGGAACAGGGCAGCTTGAGATGTCTGTATATACACTTCATAGTTGATTGCATTCTTTCTGTCATGAACACACCCAAGGGAGAACCAAGAGTCTCATGATGCTTCCTAGCCACTTGCCGATCGAAATACATATATATATATGTTGCAGTTTTCAAGTGGTATACAAGGGTTATGGCTGAAGATATCACCCATAACCCCAGTATTAAAAAAAAAATGTTTTCAGCAGCTGTTTCTCTTTCAGATAAAAGCAATCCTAGTGGCTGAATAGCTGCTGGATTGATTTTAGAGGCAGTAGGAGGGGACCCCCCCACCTCTAGCCGGTGTTTCCTGGCTAACCATCCTCACCGGTGAGCCCGGGATTCAATTTGGCGGTTGCAACAAGACACAGAGGTGAGGAAAGACCAGATCGTCTTTCCTCACCTCTATGATCTAGGAAGATCGGAGCGGCATCACTTCCGTTCTGGGCCAGATGTAAACAATTTGTTTTAAAAAAAAGCATAGGATCAATCTTTTTTTAATAAAAATAGAGGAGACATTTAGGGTCTTATAGACCCCAGATGTATCCATAGAGAGGACCTGTCATCCCTTATTTCTATTACAAGGGATGTTTACATTCCTTGTAATAGAAATAAAAGTGATTAAAAACATTTTTAACGGGACAGTGTAAAACAAAAATAAAGAAGAAAACAAAAAAAATGGAAGTGTCCCCATCCCTCTGTGCTCACACGCAGAAGCAAACTCATACGCATGCATATGTAAACGATTTTCGCACCACACATGAGGTATCGCCACGAATATTAGAGCAAGAGAAATAATTCTAGTGCTAGGCCTCCTCTGTAACTCTAAACCTGTAAAAAGTGTTGCCTATGGAGATTTTTAAGTGTCTCAGTATGTCGCCATCCCACGAGAGTGTACAATTTTAAAGCATGACATGATAGGTATCTATTTACTAGGCGTAACATTATCTTTCATATTTTACTAAAGAACTGGGGTATATACTGTTTATTTTTTGTTATTCATCAAAGTGTATTTTTTTTAAATTGCATTTGAAAAACCGCTGTGCAAATACCGTGTGACAGAAAAAATTGCAACAATTGCCATTTTATTCTCTATCTAGGGTCTCTGCTAAAAGGATATATATATATATATATATATATATATATATATATATATATATAAAAAATATATATGGGAGTTCTAAGCAAAAAATACAGATTTTTACTTGTAAACAAAAAGTAACAGAAAAGGCTTGGTCTTCAAGTGGCTAGGTACCACTTATTAGAATACGAGGCCTATGTGACTACTGGGAAAAGGCCTTACCACTGGAGAAAAGGTAACAGCTGACTGAGTCCTTTTCTGACCATTACAGTTGGTAAGTGCTCTTCTCTATCTCCTTTTCCTCTCCTGCAAATTCCTGATTAGCCAGAAGAAGTCTCCTGCATACAACAGTTTTCTCTGAAACACATTCACCAATAACAGAAAAACCCAAAGATGTTAACCCTGTTGTCTACTGTTACCTAGTGTTGATTTCCATTGAATGCACTTGTTGTACTATATTACAAAGGAGGACCATTCTTGTCTTTTTTTTAGCAAACATCTAGTGTATTTTAGAAGAGCATTAAGCTTTACAGAGATTGTTAAAATGATTTTACTGTAATGGCATACAAATTTCCAATGTCCTTCAAGATGACTGTAGAAGCAGTTTGCTCAGTAAACCTATAACGTCACATAGCATGTTTTTCTTGGTTGACAGCAGTTTATATATTCTTACTACAATCATGCACACTCAGTCGAGAAAGAAATGTAAAAATGCTTAGAGGTCTATTTATCAATGTTTTTACACAAGATTCACCCAACATTCAACCAAAGCTCACTTTTCTAATCCAATCTTATATGAAAAATGAGGGAATCTTAGGTAAAAATTATGATAAATAGACCCCTTAACATTAAAAAAAAATGTTTCTCAAATGAGTGCGCAGAATTTCAGTATAACATCTAAAAGCTGCCATCATGTGCTGTATGTGCTTTCATATGATTCACATTTTTATTGTTACGTCTCTTTAATGTCATATCATCAGTATACATACCACTTTTGATAAACAGTATATATATATTGTAGATGTGTAAATATAGAGGACTACTGTAAATGGTGAATTAGACTATCCAGTAAGATTATTATTGATGTTCTGTGCTATTCTTTTGTAATATTATGATTTTCTCTGAGTTGTATATGAACAAATCCAACATGCAGAGTGAAAGTGTGCAGTAACACCTGGTTACTAAAGGTCAGTTTAAAGTGTAACAATTATCTACACAAATTGAAGCTACACCTGGACTCCATATATAACACATATTTCATAGACTGTTCGTTACAAGCATATAGTCCCCCTACATTAATTTTTTTTATGTGAATTGGAATAATCTAG